AGCTCCGAGCCCCCCCAGCCCCAGGCCTCCCGACCCTGCACTCACTTGTGTACTCCACATAGCCCATGACTGTCACCTCGATGCGAAGGTCCTGGCAGGTCGTGTTCTCCATGTTCAGGACATGGTAGGTGCGAAGGACCTGGCTCAGAAGGGCAGGAGTGTGTAGCACATGGCTGGCGCCCAGACCCCAGGCTCCACCCACCTCAGAACGGGCTAGGCAAGGGCCAGCCAGATAGTGCAGGGGACTAAGGCACGTGTTTAGGCAGGCGCAGGGACTGGGGTTCAATCCCTGGCGTGCTGTGCCAGCCCCGCCCCCACTGAGATGGAGAATCAGGCTGGGAGTGGTGGCGCACACTACGAGTCTGATCTGTGTAGTGAGGCCCTAGAGATCCTGTACTAAATACATTTTTAAAAAATGAAAAAAGAGAATAGGCCAGGCATGCGATGGGCACCAGAAATGTGACAGAGAGCGAGGGAGCAGGGCCAGCACCCAGGACAGTGCCAAGAGAAGGCCAGCACGGGCATCTGGCCAAGGGGCCAAGGCGCCAAGGCGTGGGGGCGGAATGAGCTCGGCCATGGCCGGGAGGCAGGGAGGCCACACAGCAGGGGCACAGGGCCTGGGCAGCAGGAGCAGAGCAGGAGTTGCCTCGGGAGAGGGGCGCTCAAGCAGCCCTGGAGGGAAGGCTGGCTCCCTTCACTGGCATGAGGGGCCCAGGGGCAGGAGGGGCGTGGGGCTGCCATGCCTGTGCAATGCGGGGAGCCTGAGGGCTGGGCACAGGCCTGGGCCAGGGGGCAGAGCATGGGAACGAGAGGTGCCGGGCGACAGGGTGCCCAGAGGGGGGGAGCCCCGGACGGACAGAAGCAGGGCAGGCCCAGCTGAGGTGGGCCCGGCCTGGCCTCCCTGCCAGCCCCTCCCTCCCGCACTCCCCCTGCCCCAGCCTCACCTTCAGGATTCCTTTGCTGTTCCCGCCCACCTTCACGCTAATCTTGCTGCTCAGGGAGAACTTTTGGGAAGAGCATGGGGAGAGGTGTCAGCAGGCCTGGCAACCCCTCCCTCCCTCCTCCCCTGCCATGTCCAGGGGTTCACAGCCTTGCAGGCCTCCTCTCCGTTAGCCTGCCAACACCCTGGGCACCACAGTATATGGTGGCCATTTAAACTTTTAAAGAACCATCTAGTAGGAGGCACTGCCAACATTTGCTCTCTAAACCCTCGCTCTCCCTCTGAACGCCCTTATCCCATCACTCTGGCCACGTCTGAAGCCGTTCAGAGTGTCCGTGTTCATCTTCATGCTGTCGGAAGTACAACAAAGGCTTCTGCCAGGGGCCACCCAACAGGCAGTGGGGCCCACGAGACACGACAGTGGCGCCATCCGCCTTGCTATCCAGATGTGGCGCTGGGTCACCTGGCCCTTCCCCACAGTCAGTATGACCATGAACAGGCAATGGTCTGAACCAATGTGGGACCTCTAGGCTGCCCTGACAGCGCAACTAAAGACACTGGGAGTGGGCGGCTCCAGGGCTGCTTCAGGAGGCAGCAGGGACCACGGGATGGGTGTGCTCAAAGCCTGGGGGGAGAGTGGCGGCCCTCAGTGCCCCTGTGCCTTTTACTATAATAAATTTAAAACCTTTGTATTTAAAATTCACCATATTTTTGATCACACACAGAGGGAAGCTAAGAGGTTTGGTCACAGCCAGCACAACACTTTCGCAGAAGGACCTTAAGGAGCTGGCTGCAGATAGCCCACAGCTGGGAGGGGCGTGTGACCTCGGCCCGGCCCAGCGTTTCCTCTCCAAGGTCCAGGAGCAAGCGGCTCACCCGCAGTTCCTCCTCCAGGCCCTTAACTTGATGTTTGTTCAGCTGCAACACGACAGACCCGACGCCTCTCTGGCCTGGGGCACTGAGGGTCACATTGAGCTCCTTGTCCTCCATGGTATGGGAGGCGATCCAGTAGGCCGACAGGGCATCCAGGGCTATTACTGTGTCCTGAGGAGAGCAGGCCACACTCAGGCGCTGGGTCTCAGGACGGCCACTGCCACCACCTCCCGTCAGGCCCTACCTGCGTGCTGCGGAAACCACCAAGGAAGCTGCCCTGATGCGTGAGCCACGTGGCCACCTGGTCTGCCAGCTCGGCCTTGCCCTCCCGGAGCAGCAGGTGCAGCAGGCCGTAGGCCGTGGTCTCAATCCACAGCGCGGGTGCCTGGGGCACAGGATCTGCTGGGTTGAGAGCAGCTGCGGTGGGCGACACAACGTTGCTCTGTGAAGTAGCCACCGAGCCCCAGTACAGTTTATCTGGAAGGGAATGGGTGGGGGAACAGGCGGGGGAGCCCAGTCACTGGACCCGCCCAGCGCCCTGGCCTCCCTCACTTTGCCTCTTCTCTGGCCTCCACGCTCTCACCCTCTGGGCTCCCTGAGGACCCCAAGCCTCACCGCCAATCTCCTGGGCCATAACCATAAGGTTGTTGTGGGCCACTTCCTGCACTTCCTCGGGGGCCTTGGTCAGCGTCAGAGCATAGGCCGTGATGGCAGCTGCGTGGGCGCCCAGAAGCCCAGCACTTACTTTCTCTCCCAAGAATGTGTGTGCCTTTGAGATGGAGGCTCTCTGCAAGAGAGCAGGAAGGTCTGGGGCTGGAGCCCCGGGCCCCAGGGAGCAAGGGGGCGCTGGGGACCAGGGAAGGGTGGCGCCACACATGTGCTCACCACCCTCTGCTTCAGCTGCTCTGCGCTCTGGTCCTGGAAGACAGCCAGCCCGTGCTGAAGGGCGATGACCACGAAGGCCGTGAGGGCCACTGTCTCGTCGGTTCCCACCAAGCCGCCCTGGCGACAGGGGAGGAGGAGGCGTCAGCCAGCAGGGGCGGGGTGGGGCAGCCCTCCTCTGCACCCCCACCCCCCGGGCTGCCTGGCTCCCCAGTCCCACACCTGCATGCCTCTGTGTATAACCGGACAGGCGTCATGGAATGAGCCATCTTCCTGCTGCTGGGACAGCAGCCAGCTCGCCGTCTCCTGCAGCTTCTCGGGCGAGCCGCCCACCTGCTCCTGGGCCACACTCAGAACCTTCAGCACGAAGGCTGTGAGCCTACCGGGGAGGAAGGGGATGGCTGGGGACAGGGCAGTCTTGCTGGGGACACTGACCCCGTCCCCAGCCGCCCGGTTACTCACTGGGCTGTCTCTCTGACCCCAGTTAGAAGCCATCGCCCAAGCTCACCAAGTACTGCTGCCGCGGCTTAACCAAGCTGCATAGGAACCGTCTGACTTCCGGTATTCCTGGATCCTCAAGTAGCCTGGGAGAGGAGAGGCAGCTGCCGAGGAGACTGAGGCTGCACGCACCACGGGGCCTTCGCCTACCCACCCACCCAGCCCCACACGTGGAACCTTTCTGGATCAGATCCACGGCGTGGTCCTTGGTCTCAGGTGGCAGTCTGCCCCACTGTTCTGTCCTGTCCAGGTAGCGGGAGGCAGCCAGCGTGGGAGCCAGGAGGGTCATCGTTTGCTCACCACAGCCTGTGGGGAGCTTCAGGAGAGAGGCCACACCTCCGGGGGACAGGGCACCCTCAGAGCCCAGGGTGTCCAGGGGATTTGAGGCTGCAGAAGGCAAGGGGGCCAAGGATGAGAAGAGGCTTTGAAATGCTGGGGTTAGAGGTCAAAGCAGGCCCCAGGAGCCCAAGGAGACACTGGAGGACTCGCCCACCTGTGACCCTGACAAAGCTGGTCACGTCTCCATCAGGAATCATGTTTGGATCCGAGCTGCCGGGAATTTCCAAAGTCCGGGCTCGGTGATCTGCAGAGATGGGACAGGCTGGTATCTGCCTTGCAGTTCACAACCCCATGCCCTGCAGCCCAGGAGCCTGGCGCCAGGCTGGGACACTCACCCAGGGGGTTAAGCTGATAGATGAATTCCTCCTTGCGGATGGCCCCTTCCTTCTGCCTCAGGGAAGTGGGAAGGGGCTGTGAGGAGCCCTGTGCCCCACCACCCTGCCCCGCCATGCAGACACTCTGGGGACTTTGATTTAAACTTCAGCGACAGGTAGGGCACAATTGTAAAAGAACTAAGAACAATGTGGGTTTGGATGCTGGCCCTGGTCTGGCCAGTGGAATGCTGAGGATGGAGACAGATCGGGGGGGCCTGGCTGGGGCTGTGCCACTCACCTCAATCTGCAGAACCTTGGACACCGCATCCCCCACAAAGGAGGTACCTCGGGCCACCACCTTCAGGGACACAGCAGCAGCTGCGGTGGGCACCACGAAGAAGGGCACGGGCCGGGCAGAGCCTGCGGGCACCTGCACCTGCTGGGCCAGCCCTCCACCCCCAGCCAGGCACAGCCCTTCCACAGGGGCGATGTGGACGCTCATCTGGGGGTGGACGGACAGGGCTCAGCAGGGCTCGGCCACCAGGCCCCCCCCCCCCCCCAGGCCGGGCCGGGCGTGCAAGCAGGGCCTCACAGTCAGGTTCTGCTCCAGGTAGTTGTAGAGGACGGGCCGCAGCTCCAGCTGCTCAAAGCGGCGGACAGAGGCGGGCAGGCGGAGGTGCAGGTGGAACTCACGGAAGACTCGGAGTCGGGCTGGCGTGGCCACACACAGGCCTGGGGACAGCAGGAAGGGCAGAGGGCAGGTCAGAGGACACCTCAAGGACTCAGGGACAAGGGGCCCAGCAGTGCCCTTGCTGCTCCTGCTCTTTGGTCCGGGTTAGTACAGACATCCCCAGCCTTCCCTGCCAAACACAAGGGGCTAAGCCAGGAGCTGGGGAGGGTGGAAGTAGAAGAGCAGCCTGCGGTGCAGGCAGGGTATCTCACCCTTGCTTTGGGACAGGCTCACGCCATGGATCTCCCACGTGGTCATAGAGTCAGGGAGCCACACGGGCAACCTGTGGCCAAGGTGGAGAAGCCGTCATGCCACGCCAGGACTGGCAGCACCAGCCCGAGGCGAGGCCCCAGATGCTCACGTTTGGGAGCGATCCACCTGCAGCACCCGCCAGAGCCAGTTCTCGGGGAAGAAGCTGCGTACCCGGATCTCATCCTCCTCCAGCAGCTCCTCCTCCTGCAGGACCTCCAGGGCTGGGACAAAGCAGCGAGTGAGGAAGGGCATCCCCCCTCCAAATGGAGCGCAGCTGCCCCTGCCCACCAGGACTCACCTCTCCCGAGGCCCCCGGGGTTCTCGGCCCGGCTCTTCTTGCGCAGGCTCTCAGCAAACTCACAGCAGGACAGGAAGGTCTCCCGGCAGGCTGGCTGCGGCACACGCGCTGCCCGCTGCCCACACGAGCGCACCATGGGCAGCCGCGTCAGCCCATCCTGGCAGCAGCGCTTGGCCTCTGGGGAAGTGAACTGGCCCACTGCAGGCCAGTGAGGGCAGGCAGGAGGGAGACAGACGGAGGCCCAGTTCAGCAGTGAGGCCACAGCCAGAGCGCTTCCCTCCCACTGTCAGCCTGGCTTCCTGTCTCTCCAAGGAGCAGACGTGGGAAGAGGGCCCACCCAAGCCGGACATGGTGGACGCTGCAGCCCTGTGGGCACCTGCCACTCACACTTCTCACTCGTGGCCTTCTGGAAGTCCACACTTCTCTTCTTCCTGGTTTTCTTCTCTTTGGGACAGCTCAGAGCTAGCAGAGAGCAAGATTGGAGATGACTCAAAGAAGGGTGTGTGGCCTGGACTCCTCCTGTCTCCCGCCCAGCAGCCCAGCCCTTTCCTGCTTGCCTGAAGCCCCTGCACCCTCCCTCCTCTCCCAGCCCGTGCTCTTTCTGCCAGTGCTCACTCTCCCTGACTGGCGTCCGCAGGTCTCCATCAGAGAAGGCCAGGCCAGCAGCCTCAAACACCTGGAGGGCACTGTCGCCACCCCCAGGGCCGCAGCCAAGGCTGTAGCTGTTCATGACTTCAAAGACCTGGGGGGAGGAAAGTCCAGGTTGGAGAGACAGGGGCTGGCCGCTGAGGGGCAGGACTGGCCATACAATGCCGGCGACAAGGCCTGGCAGACACAGGACAGACACAGTGGACGTGGCCCAAGGCCTGTGGGAGGGCTGGCGGGGGTCTGCAGAAGCCCAAGAGACCCCGCACGGAGCTCACTCAGGGGAAGGAGGCACGAGGGCCTAGCAGATGGCAGGGATGGCTGACACACCTTGGCCATGTCCAGGGGCTTGTGAGTCTTGCTTCCCACGGCATACAGAGCTGTGTCCACAGCTCCCAGCGCCACCAGGGCTGCAGGCTCAGTGCGCACCTGCAGCCTCACCTGGTCCCCATTGCGATAGTCCTTGGCACCGTCCACATGCAACTCCAGCTGAGAGAGGAGGAAGGGGGTAAGGCTTTCAGTCCCGGGTACTCTCAGGACACCCCAAACTCACCAGCAATCACTAAGTCCTCCTTCTCTCCTAACCCCTACACACATGCACGTATGCACACACCGCCCTGGCCCCAGGCACCTTGCCCTCACAGGCCCCGGCCTCGACGTCCACCCGCAGGGAGTTGGCCACAGGCTGGCCTTGATGATAGTAGAAGGCCACAAAGTAGAAGGAGGGTGCCAAACGGTGGTCCACAAACACTGAGACGGAGGTCAGGGCAGTCCTGGGCTCCCGGTCCACAAACACAATCTCACCTCGGGACAGAATCTGCGCCAAGAGGAGCACAGAGTGGCTTCCTCTTCGCGTCCCATCCCAGCCCCGACACCATGCCCAGCGTACCCGAGCCTCTCCCCGCCCCTGCCCTGCCTTGTCCCGGCTGTGCGCACCATGTAGTAGTAATAAGGGAAGGTGGCCCCCCTCAGGCCCACGGTCCGCAGATTCAGGACGACAGTTTCCTGGACTCTAGGAGCCCGAGGATCCTGCCGCTCAATAGACAGGAAGCCAGAGCTGCTGGAGGGCGGGGCGTGCACGGTGAGCCTGGCCACAGCGGGGTAGGGGGAGCCTGCAGACACCTGGGGGGAGGGACTGAGGTCAGTGACCAGGTTGTGTGTCCCTCTCCTCCAAGCCAGGCCAGAAACCCTCAGAGACCAGCGCAGCCTCCCCACAGGCAGGAAAGGCCTACCAAGAGCCGCAGTTCGGTGGTACCCCTCGGGACATCGATGGCAACATGGACCTGGCCCGTCCTGTCTGTGTTTTGTTTAATATCTGGGACATCAGAAACAGACCCAGACAGTGTGGCAGAGACTTTGACAGGAATGCCAGAGGCCGGGGAGCCTGACACTTCTCGGACTAGGGCCTAGGCAGGTAGAAGGAGGCCGGTGAAAGAGTGGTCAGCGAGACTCGTTCTCAGACTCCATCCCGCGCCCAGCAGCCACCTGCAGCAGGAAGGGGGCCCCCGAGACTCGTCCTCAGACTCCACCCCGCGCCCAGCAGCCACCTGCAGCAGGAAGGGGGCCCCCGGCACAAGGTGGCGCTTGGTGTTGCTCAGGTCCACAGAGAAGGCAGATGGCACAAAGCGCCAGGATGTGAGCTCCGCCTCCTCGATCTCTCCCCCTGCAAGGCAAAGAACAGAAATGGAGGGCAGAGGTGCCTGAGCGTCTCCCCAGGACACGAGCCTGACTTGCACCAATTTCTGCACGCACAAAGCCTAACGCAATACTGGCACGCGGACACCCACTGCAGAGCGGACAGATGAACGAGGGAAGCCGAGACTGGAAGGGGTAGGAAGCCGGCGGAGGGGAGCTGGAGAGAGACCAGGTCTTTTTCTTTTCCATATTTTAGGACAGGGTGTACAGGATGTTCAGGGTCTCACTGCATAGACAGGACTCGTAGTGATCTGCCTGTTTCCAGCCTCCTAAGAGCAGAGATGATAGGTGTGCGCCACCATGCCCAGTCTCAGTTGCCATCTCAGGAAGCTCGGGGGCGGGGCCGGCACGGCAGGCGCTTTAATCCACTGAGCTATTTGTGTTTTGTTGTTGTTGTTGTTTGAGGTACTAGGGATTGAACTCAGGACCTTGCGCCTGCTATCTCCCCAGCCCCCACTGAGCTACTTGGCCGGCCCTGAGAGACCAGGTCTGCTGGGCCCAACAGGTGCAGAAGTCAGGGTAGGAAGCGGTGCTAGGAAGCAGGGCGAGTGCTCAAAACTGGTTTTTCTTTCTGGGTGGTCCGCAGGGAATGCTGTGCTGTAGAGGGAACAGCCTTAGCCCTTTGTGGTGTTTATTTTGAGGTAAGATCTTAGTAAACCACCCTCGCTGTGCTTCTTCTGCCTCATCAGCTAGGATTAGTTAACCTATGACACCATATCCAGCCATCCTTTGGATCTTAAGTGTCCCCAGAGGCCCATGTGCGGCTCTGTTCAGAGGCAACGGAACATTCACAAGGTGGGGCCTCAGGGGGACTTCGGATCCTGGGTCACTCGTCCTGAGAGGCTAGTGGGTGGCAGTGTGGTGAGCTCCAGGACAAAGACCTGGGTCCAAACAAGGGATGCTGCCCACCTGGAGACTCCACAATGGCTGCGGCGGCGTAGAGACGCAGACCCTGGAGGTCAGCAACAGTGACGTTCACCTTCTCCAAGGCACCCTGGAGCTCAGCCCTTGAGAGGGCGATGCGGCTCTCACCTTCCACCAGCTGGAGCAGAGGAAAATGGGGCATGGGAAGACTGGCGCACCCTCCCCTCCCCGCCTCACCCCCACCTCGGCCCTACCTTGCGCTGCGTCTCCAGACCCCGAAGGAAAGTCTTCTGACCATCCTCGGCCAGCAGTGCGAAGCGCACATAGGCTACACCTTGCACTGGCTTGCCATAGATGTACCTGTCCCACAAGGAGTGGGGAGTAGGTTGGCCAAAGGCTGGGGGTGAGGAGGACCCCACAGAGAAGGAAATGAGTGGGGACCTGGCGGGGCGAGGGTGTCACCTGGCCTGGATGTCTAGTTGGATTTCACCAAGATGGTCAGGAGTCACCAAGATATAGGGCTTCCAGGGGGTGATCTTGACCTCGAAGTTGGGAAGGACTGACCCAGGGCGGAGAGACAGGCAGGTCAGAGCTCGCCAGGGGGGCTCTCCTCGTGCGGCCCACCCCGTGGCCCCTCCATCGGAGGCATGGCCCGTCCTCCAGGAGCCAGCACTCACCATACTTCTTCACCTCGAATTTGGTGCTGCTGTTGGTTTCCAGGCTGTCCGAGAACTGGGCTGAGATCCTCCAGGTCCCTGGCCTGAGCACAGACAAAGAAAGGACTCAGCCCCTTGCAGCGGACCTCAGCCGGCCAGCGGCCTGGATCCCTAGGCAGAGCTCTGTGGGTCAGACCAGAGGCTCAGGAGGCCCAGGGTCGGGCTGGAAGAGGGACTGCTGGAGGTGAGAGCGGTCAAAGGGAGACAGTGGGGGAGAGCCATGGGACCGCAGCCACGTGAGGGGCACTTACTCTGAGATGTCTGGAATCATGAAGTCATCCTGGAAGATGGAGGAAGGATCGCGCACCTGCTTTTTCCGCACGCGGAGACCCTGAGCGTTCTGCACGGGGAGTAGAAACGGTCTCGGTTGGGAGGTTGGGAGGCACACCGTGCACGCCCCAAGTCAGGAGGGGCCGGCGCTCTGGGCCTCACCTCCACCGTGACCAGGAGGCTGTCCGTGGACGGCCGCATCTTCTGATCCAGAGCGAAGACTCGGTACCGAACTGGGAATGGGGGGGGGGGGGGGGAGGTGAGCAGGGGCCCGCGTTCACAGGGAGGGTGGGCTCCATTCTAGGGAGGGAGGCGGCTGAGCACTTGCCCCACAACTCATCCTCTGAGGGCCAGGAGGAAGCCAGGAGGAGGCCTGAGGCCAAGGCTTACCCCGCTGGCCAGGGTTATACACGGGCTGGTCAGTCTGCACGAAGAAGTGCCCGCGGCGAGAGGAGAAGCGCAGGTTGACACCCTGAGTGCTGGTCTTTTTAGCCAGGGTGCCAGTTAGCCAGGGTGACTGGGCCACCAGCTGGACCTCATGGCTTTTGCGGAGGCTGAAGAGGCCACAGGACAGTGCCTTGCTCTGGGGAACCTGTCCAGACGGCAAGAGAGTGGCTTGGGGACACCAGAAGGAACAGGATAGAAAAGCCAAGAGAGAGACCTGAAGGACACTGCAGAGGAGGAAGGGAAGCCAGCGCCATCTGCAAGAAGACAGAAGGGAGAGGAAGGCCGAGTGGGACCGCAGCCGCCACCTGCAGGCTGAGGAGCTGGAAGTCTCGGTCCGAGGTGAGCATGAAGTTCTCCTCTGGCGAACATGGGTCATTATTTTGGCTCGGGTTCCTCAGCAGCACAGATCCTCTCACCACTTGCCCTGGGGGGGCATCCTGCAGCTGCACCCCCACTGACAGGGGAACCCCCAGATTGACCACAGAAGGAGCGAAAAGAAGCAACCTGAGGACAGGGAGGCAGCCGGCGTCAGACTCCCGGCCCTCCCCGCCTCCCCGCCTCCCATCGCCCCCGACCCAGCAGCCCTCCTCTCCCAACCTGGGCTTCTGCAGAGACGCGGGGAAGAGGCTGAACACCGCGAGCAGGCCCCACAGGAGCCGCATGGCTGGGGGATCGCGCGGCGTCAGGTCTGTGGGTCTGTCCACTCCCTTCTGGCCAGCCAGGGGCAGGGAAAGTTGATGTGGACCTTGCTCCTCCCCTAGCCCAGCAGGGCCGGGAAACCATGTGACAACCAAGAATGGCAACTGGCCCCAGGCCAACGTTGGGGAGCAGCCCGGACCCCAGGCTCCCGGGTGGTGTGAGGCAATCCTGGCCCCGAACCCGCTGTCCTTCCCAGTTACCCACAGGCCACGGTGCAGCCACCTCCCTGACTGGAGCGTCTCATGGCATGAGCATGCGGGTCCCTGTGACGAGGAAGATACCGAAGGACTGGCTTCCAAGACCCCTGCCCACCCACACTGAGGCCCAAGCAGAGCCCTGCAGTTCAGGGGACAGGACCGGCTCAGTATCAGGGCAACTTTGTCCTCTGAACAATAGGACAAAGCTCATGCCTCCCCCAGCTTTGCTACCACAAGCATGACAAACACATGTTCAGAAATCGTCACAGGCACAGTACTTTATTTGGCAATTCCAATTCAGCATGCGGGGCAGAGAACCCCAGCCCCTTCCAGCCACCCTAATAGCCAATCCCAGACAGCACACAGCACCTTCTTCCCAAAGGGCGGCAGCCAAGGCCCTGGCACTTCCCAGCTCTGTACCGCAGGGCACAGCAGTCTGCCGAGCCCACTGGGGTAGCCCACCTAGCCCTCTGTACCCCCGTGAGCCCCGCGCTGTCCCAGCTCCCAGCCTTCTCAGGATGTCACCAGCTTGGCCGCCACAGGTAGCACTCCTGGGCCTTGTCCCACTCAGGAGGTGTGACAGCAGGCAGTCCCTCACGTCTCTGGCAGGCGAAGGAGGGTTCCGGAAGTAGTGGAGATGCTGCAGAACAGGAAAACAACCCTAGAGCTGGCTGCATGGGCCCAGGGTGCAGGAGAGCTTGGGACTCGGTTGGGGCGGCCCTGGGTGCCAGAGAAGTCCACAGAGACCAGGCTCCCTGGTGAATTAGACAGCAGAGGAAATGCACCTAGGGGTCGCTGCCCTGCACGGCCAGTCCCAGGGCACAAGACTTACCAGTCCACCAGCTGGGCACCAATGAGGTCATGGACGTGGTAGGCCAGGCCGAGCCGCACAGTAGCAGGCGCCCGCCGGCCCAGAAGCTCTGACAGGAGTAGCTCCCGGTACCTGGCCTTTCGGACCATGCCGAGAACAGCCTGGCGCCCTGGAGGAGGCAGCACAGGAAAGGGGCAAATTAATTAAACCCAAGGGCCTGAGGAGCCACAAAAGTTGTGCTTGACAGGCGAAGGGCACAGCCACAGGTAATACCTTTAACAAAGTACTTGATAAATCTCCCAGCTCCGGGCACCGCCAGCCACCAGCTCCCTGCGTCCCGTACAGTGAGGACACCGGCGTTCACCAGATGCCTGCAGGCGGGAAAGCCAGGAGATGAGGCTGCTGTTGCCACCCTGGGAATGGCCCTCCCCTCCTGTCCCAACGTTCATGTTTGAGCAGTCTCCAGAAACAGGGTCACCACCCCAGCAAGAGGGACCCATAAGAACACTCCAGCAGAGATGGTGTCTGCTTGAACACGCAGTCTCCACTGCCCTTCCCGGGCTGCCCTCCCTCTGCTTCCCTTCCTTGCAGAACAGCCTCGGCCACTGGCCCTGGGATACCCCGAGAGGGAGGGATGTTCGCCGGACCCTGTGCTCTCCCCACCGCTGGCTGCACCTGCCTGCATGCAAACATTTGCTTCCCCCTTTAGTTCTTTCTTTCTTTCTTTCTTTTTTTTTTTTTGCGGTACCAGGGATCAAACTCAGGACCTTGAGCTCACCAGGCAAGCACTTATTCCACTGAGCTATCTCCCCGGACCCCTAGTTCTTACTTTCATGTGTAGCATGGGTCACAAAGGAGGAGGCCAGGACAAGACCGAGCCCCTAAACATTAGCCACCTTCTTCTGGGGATCTGGTTTGGTTGGGGTTCTCGAGGCAGGTTCTCACTATACGGAGCCCAGGCTGCCATTCCTGGTTCTGCCACAGTGGGCACTGAGTCTAGAGCATTCGCACTGATCTGCCTCTCAGCCCCTTCTTTCTTCATTTTAGTTTGCGACAGGGTCTCACTAAGTTGCTAAGTTGCCCAGGCCTGGCTTGACCTTGTCATCCTCCTGCCTCACCCTCCCAGACTGCTGGGATTACAGCCCCCGCCAGCCTTGCACGTGCTATGGAGCCCAGAAGAGTCTCCTGCCCCGGTGCCAGGAGCTAGGCCTGCACCCAGGCCTCGGGGACTCCAGGGCTAGAGGGCGGCTGCCCAGGAGGCGCACAGCTCCGCCTCCAGCCTCACAGCCCGGTGCCTCCCGGGCCAGCTCTGGCTCTCCCAGGCTCACTCTCTTGCAGGGAGAAGCACAAATTTAGAGCATTTAGTTAAACAAAAGGGACAGTGAGAAAAGAGAAAAAAATGGAAACAAGGCTTTGTAAATGAGGGAGGCGGGGTTAAAGGGAGGGTAGGGGAACAGAAAAAAGCAAAGAATCAAGTTCTACTGTGTACAGGTTCAGCTGTGACTGTGGTCATTCGGTATACACAGAATGCTCCAGTAAGACTGACTGAAGACAACAAATTGAGAAAATGCAAGCAGAAGGGCTGGGCTTGCTCACTCAGGGCGGCGTGGGCCTGAGGGCAGTGGCAGACCCTACTCTGCTGGCCCCCCGTCTCACGTGATCTCTGAGTCCCTGAAGCCAAAGGTCTGTGTCATCTGATCCTGCTGGAAACTAAGACCCCCACAGGCTGGAAGCACGGAAGCCAGGAACTTCTGCACAGCCCCAGCACAGGGCCGGCTGTCACAGGCCTTGAGGACCTAGAACCACAGAGAGAGACACGGCCCAGCTCCAGGACAGCGCCCTCCCGCCCCTCCCCCAGCCCCTCCCTGCTTCCACTTCCCTACTGTACTATTTTCTAGAACCCCACACCCTGCCCACGAACTGTGGGGCAGGAGAATTGTTCCTTGTCTTTATTTACACTCCCCAACCCCCTACATAAACAGGGGGGAAAAAAAATCACACATACTCTGGTCCTGTAGTCCTCTGTGAAGATAATCCCATGGGCATCCAAGTCAAAGCCCAGCTGGATGACTCTGATCTCTCCCTGCTCCTGAAGTTCCTTCTGTCTCACACACACACACACACACACACACACACACACACACACACACACGGAAAAAGAAAAGTAGAATGTGTTAGTCCAAGATGTTCTGTTGTACCTGGGCATCTCTGGGCAGGGAGTTCTTGCTTACTAGTTTGGGCATTTTTATTGAATGAAGAAATAACCAGGGCATCCAAAGCAAGCTTTTCCATTGAGGCCCCGACTCAGCAGGTGTCTTTCAGACATCATTGGTTTTCTAAGACAGATCTATGCCAGGCTCTGAGATAAAATAGCAGTTAAGACATAGACCTGCCCTCCAGGATCAGGGTCTGGATTCTGAGTGGGGGAAGGTGAAGAAAGGTAGTAGATAATAAAATAAATTGGGCATGGTGGCACATGCTTGGAGTCCCAGCATTCTGGAGGCTGAAGCAGGAGGACTGTTGTGAGTTCCAGACCAGCCTGGGCTACAAAGTGAGCTCAGAGCCTGCACTGCACAGCAAGACCCTGTCTCAAAAAGACAAAAAGAAAAACAAGTGTGGTGAGACAGGGCGGCAGACTAATCCCCTGCTTAGGGACCAGGGTTCAATCCCCGGCACCTGGGGGCACACCGAGCTGGCCAGAGACGGGGTGTTGCAGCGCACACCTGCAATCTCAGTGCTGGGGAGGCTGAAAACAGCAGGATTACTATGAGTCTGCGCTGTGTAGTTAGACCCTGTACCAAGTACATTAAAAAAAAAAAAAAGAAAAGAAAACTCTCCCCCATACTTTTTAACTAAAATAAACCAGGACTTCTATTTGTGTAAATAAAGGAAGAACCAAGCCACATGTTAGTATTAACTAACATGCTAGGACAATATTTTTTTTTAATGTTTAAGCACTAAAGAGCTCACATGATAAGAGGAACTACCAGATTAATGTAATATACAAATAAAAGCAGGAAATGATAAGAGGGAATTGGGGCAAGGAAGGCATTTGCAGAACTATGGAAATCTGTTCCCCATAACACCAAAAATAACTGGGCACATAAGAAAACAACACTCAAAAGATACAGACTGCGAAAGACATGGAATAAGGGAACTACCAAAAGACCATCTTTCTAAATTGGTGACGAAACACAGTGGGAAGAGCAAGCGGAGTGCCCAGAGCCCCCAGCGCCTCAGCCTGAGCAGGACGCAGCGCAGGCGCCCGCACCACTGTCATACTGTACCCTGGCAGGAAGCAGGACACACAATTATTCTGTCAAAAACACAATCTTTTTTTTTCCCCAAGAGCCCAGGTTCACAATGCTGAAATAAATAAAAGCTGAGATGAAAAATCTCAGCAGGGAAAGTGACAACACAGCAGGTCTGAACATACCCAAGGAGAAATTCTGGAACTGAAAGACAAACTAAATGAAAACCTCAACAGAATTTGGCGCAGCTGGATAAAAAGCCATGTATCTATGAAAAAAAAATTCTTTTAAAAACTAACCAGAATATATAAAGTAAAAATATTAAAAATGTAAGAGTCTAAGAGACTTATAGGACACAAAGGGAAGGTCCAATGTACATGTGACTCTCAGAATGAAAGAAAAGAAAGTAGAGGAAATATGTACATAAATAAACCTACAATCA